TCTGTCTGTTAATGTTTTCCTTTTATTTTTAAAATTTTCTAAAAAATTCTACAAAAACTTCAGAGAAAACCATATTCCTATAGTCCTGCAGTTCTTCAATGAAAATGAAAGTTGAGGGGTACTCTCACAGTGATCTGTGTGAGCTAGCATTATGCTGATATTGAAATCAGACAAGGATAGCATTATGCTAATCCCAAAACCAAAAAGAGAACTACAAAGCCACCCCTTTAATTAATATAGATACCAATATTATCAATAAATGTTATGGATGTCAACCCAAAGCCTCATGCACTCATAGGTGGGGATTTTTGGAGATAGCTGCATGTAAGGTATGTATATATGAATTAAGGGTATGTGATAATGGAATTAGTCCAATGATAGCTTTAGCTCTAGTGCAGATAATGAAAGACCCAGTCTGCATGTGGGTTGCGCCATCCAGTGATTTTGTAACCTGAATGGATTAAAAGGGAAAGGAAGTTTCACTACTTGCTGCTTTGTGCCTACCAAGCCATAGACTGTTTTTCCTCTGCCATGCCCCTATGCGGTGCTGCTCTGCCTTGGAGCCAGGTAACTATGTACTGAAACCTCTGTAAACTGTGAGCTAAAACAAACATTTCCTTTAACTTGTGGGTGTGAGGTATTTTGACTCAGCAATGAAAAAATTAACTAGGACAACAGGAAACTAGCAAGCAAAATGCAAGAAGTCATCCAAAAGGTCGTATATCTTGACCAAGTGAACTTCATCCCAAGGAAGCAAGAATATTTCAACATTTCCAAATTAATAAATGTAATACATCACATAAACAAGAGCAAAGACAAGAATCACATGATCATCTCAGTAGATGCAGAAACAGTCTTTGATAAAATCCAACATCTTCTCATGATAAAAAGAAACTTGGTATAGAAAACCTTATCTCAATCTGGTAGCCATTTATGACAAACCTTTTGTTAACAACATATTAAATGTGAAAAATATTAAACACTTTCCCTTTAAAATCAGGAACAAGACAAGAATATACACTATCACAGCTACTATTTTAACCTAGTATGTGAAAGAGTAGCAAAAGCATTTGGGCAGCAAAGAGAAATAAAAGTGATATAGGGAAGGAAGAAGTCAAATTATCCTTATTTCCAGATGACATGATCCACTACATAGGAGACTCAAAAATCCCACCAAAACACACCCAGTATTAATAACCAAAATTAGCAATGTAGCAGGATACAAAATTTACACAAAAACAGCATTCTCCTACAACAATAATAATTCCACTGAAGAAGAAATAAAAAAAAACCATTCACAATTGCACCATGAAAATTTAAATACTTGAGAATTAACTGAAGAAATTGAAAGACCTCTGTAATGAAAATTACAGTACTCTGAAAAAGGAGATCAAATAAAACATAAGAAAATGGGAAAATGTCTCCTGTTTCTGGATAGGTAGAACCCACATAGTCAAAATGGCCATAATTCCAAACTTGATATATAGATTTACTGAAATCCCAATCAAAACACCAAAAGTTTCTCCATAGAAATGGAGAAAAAAAATTCTAAAATTTATATGGAACCAGAAGAGACTCAGAATATTAGAAACAATCCTGATAACAAAGCAAAGTGGGAAGCATCACAAGACTTGAAGATAGGTTACAAAGCTACAGTGGTAACAACAACAAAATCCCAGCATGTTAATGTTACAAAAACAGACATGAAGATTAATGGAACAGAATAGAAGTTGAAGAAAAAACCCCAAGAACACTTAACTTTTGGATAATGGAGACAAAATATACACTGAAGGAAAGAAAGCCTCTTAATAAATGGTGCTGCGAAAACTGACTATCCACATGCAGAAGATTGAATCTAGGCACATATCTCTCACCCTGTACTAAACTAAAATCAAAATGTATGCAAAAACTAAGTAGTAATGCTGAAACACTTAACATGCTGGAAAATAAAAAAGGTAAAACTATTGAAGTCACGGGGGTAGGCAAGGACTTTCTGAACAGAACTTCAATGGCGCAAGAAACAGTACCAGGAATCAACAAATGGGGTCATATCACATTAAAAGCCATTTGTACAACAAAGGAAACAACAATCAGAGTGAAAAGACAATCTAGAGAATGGGAAAAATTTCTAGCTAATTCTAACACAGAGTACTCTTACCTAGAACATATAAAAATTCTTTTAAAACTAACTCCTCCAAATAAAAGACCCATTCAAAGAATGTGCAAGTGGAACAAAAAGACACTTCACAGAAGTACAAATGGCCAATAAATACTAGAAGAAATGGTCAACATCACTGGTCTTTAGAGAAATGCAAGTTTAACATGACTGGGATTCTACCTTATCCCACTATGAATGGCCGTCATTAAAAATTTTAAAAAAATAATAATGTCCAACCAGGCTGTAGAGGAGAAGTAACCCTTCTACATTGTAGATGAGAATGTAAACTAGTACAACCACTCTAGAAATCAGAATGAAGATTCCTCAAAAAAACTAAAAGTAGAAATTGCATTTAACCCAGCTATTGCCCTTCTATGTATCATCACAAAGGTGTCAAAGTCAGCGTTTTACAGTGATACCAGCATACCCATGTTTATAGCAGCACAGTTTATAATGGCTAAATCTTCAAAGCAGCCTATACGCCTATCAACAATGAATTCATGACGCAATCCCGGAGGCCAGGACTCGAGAACAAAGACCCCGGTGACACTGCAGACTGAGTTTCTAGGCGCTGGGAGGCGCAGGGGACGGG